CTGATTCCAAACAAAGCGGCTTAGCCTGTAAAGGGGGGGGGAGATTCAGAACAACTTTGACATGTTGGTTTAAAAAAACAAAACAAAAAAAACAATGCTGAGACCTTAATGGCAAAATTGCTAAAGGGACCTCTGGCTAATATGTCGGTTCTGTGTCGGGCTCGTAGCCGAAAACTAGCTTTACTTTGTTTGCCAGTGAGAGACAGAGAGGCGTTGAAAGGCTGCTCCAACGGAACTAATTGTTTCAGAGGAAAACACGAACACGGTGTCCAGTCGAGTCTTAATAGCTTACTTACAACTGGGCTTGTCGGGCACTCTTTTTGGCTGCAGTGGTTATTATTATATTTACATGCTTCCAGCTCCCGTTTCTGGAAGGTCATTTACTGAATGATAATTTTTAAAAAATATTTCTTCACATCATTATGCGACCGCAAGGAGGGGTGACATGGGCCGCGAGATTGAGACACAGACATTAGAGCCTCTTAATGTGCGTTTCATTTGGGTTTCCACCGGCGTGGAATTACCAAAAATAGAGAGGGCATAGCCTAACATCTCAAACAGGAAAAGACCCCCGTGTAATCCATTTATTTCAACAAAGTAACCGTATTCTGAATACCACCCTTTTAAACAGTAACTGTAACAGAATACAGTTACTCATATTTTGTATTTTAAATACGTAACACCGGTACATTTATTCCGTTACTCCCCAACACTGTTTACAGCTTAAACACATAATTAAGAAAACATCTATAAACTACTGTATAAAGTATAAAGGGTTCTGATCACTCATTAACCTACCAAAGTAAGAAAGTGTACAACGTGTTTTAAAGCAATGACACATTGTAGTTTTTTTAAGCTGAAGTAAAAAAAATTGCAGCTAGAAGAAGTAGTTACATTTGGTGACTGCAAATTGTGCGAGTTTGTACATGAGCAACACAACCAGTCAGCAGGCTTGGCAGCAAGGCTTGACAGAACCTGCTTGTGAATGGAGCAGAGACGCTTTTACTCTAAATCTCTTGAGTGTGAAGGCCTTTGAAGCAGTCTAACACCTTGATGCGCTGAGATCTACTTTTCCAGTGCAGCTCTGCTACAACTTCAACAGCTCTGTAAAGATTTAATAGGAGACTGTGTGCTCTGGTTATTTGTGATGGATGTTTAACTACACTTCCCATGAGCACAGACAGCATCAGTGGTTATGTATTGGTGCTGCTCTTGAGAGCAGTCAGCACCTCTACAGCTTCAAGTTGAGACATAACGTTAGAAGAACACAAGTATTAAATTGAGGTATTTTAGGCACACGCCTGGCTGTATGGCAGACGACTTAACAGCTTTGAATCTGTAGGGTTTCTCTGGGAGGCTCGCAACAACAAAACCACACATAAGCACATACAGTACACACATTTTCAAAACAAGTTCTAGATATCTGAAGTGCTCGCTTTGAATGCATATACAGTCTGACAGAGTTGTTCACAGTTAAGATTCTGTAAGGTAAGACCCTTATGACTGCAGGCTTTACAGGAAAAAACATGCACGCGTGCACACACTGTGCAAACAAAGATTGTCAGAGCTGTTAACAAAGGTGCAATGCTCTTCTTCCTGACTGCCGTCTTCATAGAGAGATCTGTTTGAAGAACACAGCAGCATCAGAAATGCTCTGTAAACACTTTCCTCAGTATTACAAGTGAATGAGACGAAAGCCCACACACACACACACACACACACACACACACACACACATACCCTCAAACCTGCACAAAAGCTTTGGCTCATGCAGGTAAATTTACCAGCCAGAATCGTATTAACACCCGAGCTTTTCAACCATCTAAATAATGCGTTCTCTCTTGTAATGAATTCTCATCCTCCCTTTCTCTTTCTTTCACTTCATCCAATCTCACAGCAGGTTTCCAGGCAGAAACAAAAAAATGAAACCCACAATGAGTAGCTGTCTGCTCTGATTTATAGCTCTACAAGTGATCAACTCTCCATCTCTGTATGGGTCTGCACCCGGGCACTATGTATTAGTATGTAATGAGTGCAGTTGTATGTTATGGTGTGCGTGTTTTTAATGCATCAGACGATTTTCCTGGGGTATGCGATAAATGAGCCCACATGACAGTTATCGTTTCCCTGAGGACATGACTTAAAAAAAACAACAAAAACCCCACACAGAATCTACTTCAACTTTGAACTTGCCCTCTCTCCCTCTCCCCTCTCATTTTCCCATTAAAGAAGAGAAGCAGACTGACTGCTGCAGGCAGTCTGAAAGCATCAAATACACAGTATTAGTGATAATGATACTCGTTTATTGAGAAAACCCCTAAATGCTCTTTTTATGATGGGCGCTCCATGTGCGTGAGAATGCAAAGAGTTTTGAATTGGCATTATTTGTTCTTACTAAGGTGGTGTGCTACGACGTGCAGATGTTTCTATTATTCTATAAGCTGATTTCCTGAGACCACACCCTCTTTATCAACACACAAAGTACACTGGATTTTCGGCGTAAAACCAGACAAGTACTCCTTAGTTCCCGGCTTTATACATGCACCCGCAGGCATGCACCTGTGACAGTTCTGCACACACGGGATCTCGCGGTTAGGAAACAAAACAAACGTGAGGTATAGAGCTCCATTTGCAAGCCCTGATATTGTACACTGCCTTTGTCTCCTGCAGAGCTGAAATCCCAGTTCTTTAGATGTCTCATTACAGCCCTCCTCAATAAGCAGCATTGATTGTGTGTGTGTGTGATTTTTTTTTATTTTTTTTTGCGTGGTTTGGCTAATGCATTCATTTCCTGTAGGGGGATTTGTGAGTAATTATGCACAAAGACATCCTCTCACTAATTAAGATGTAAAGACAGGCAGTTCAAGTAATCTGGGCATCCCACCAAGGCGCAGAAATGCACAATCCTTAAGGCAGTGTGTGTACAGGTGTGTTTAATGTGTGTGTACATTAATCAGGCAGTGTGTAGCTACACTGGTGTCTGTCGGTAATCACAGCTGTGTGAGCCTCTACTGCTCCTTTTAATAAAGTAAAGCACATTTGGTTTTTATTTGAAATAACGTCAACCTCATCAGTAATTTTACAAATGACCATTTAAAAATGCAATTCTTAACCATAAATAATGTATTATTTTTAAGTAATATTTAAAAAAAACACTACAAACCATGCAACCTAATGCAAATGTATCATGTAAAATTCAAATTCCCCTCCTAAAATCCACAGTTTTTAAAATTATGTTAGCACAGCTGAAAACGATTGTACTGATTACATAAGCAATAAATTTACTTCTGTGTCTGAAACATAAGGGTTCCTGGTTTTGATTACACTCAACATGGCTAAAAAAATAACTCAGTTTTCTTGTTTTAAGAAGTAAATGCTATTGCATGAGGCAAACTGAACAATCTGAAATTAAGTGTGTTTATGTCAGCATTGTGTAGTATTCTCCGGTGACAGTACAAAGTGGTTAGTTTGAGAAAAAGATCGTTCATAGGTCCTCAACTGGTCACTGCATTAAATGGTTCCTGTAAAACACCAGCCTGCAGGTGATTTTTAGATGCTGGCCTTCTAGGAAGAGTTGTCCAAAGAGCCATAACTGTGATCAGTCAATAAAAGTAGAAAATAAAGACAGGGGGAAAAAAAAATCCCCAAAACACAACACACAAATATTGGGCAGACGTAAGCAGTTTTCAGACATGAAATGATGCTGGAATAGTGTTTGACAGCATCTGCTAAGTGTGGTGGAGGAAATTTGATGGTTTGAGGCTTTGGTCATGCTAAAGTGGGAGATTTGTACAGCAAAAGATCTTGAACAAGAGAAAGGCAGGCTTTCACTCTGTTTTGTAGTGCCATACAGTGCCTGTGGATACAGCAGGACTGGAGTTGATTTCCAAAGCAGCTCTGACATTTATAGGAACTACTCAGAAAAAGCAGTCAGCTGGTGTTTTGCCTATAATGGAGTGGCCAGCGCAGTCACTGGCTCTTAACTACTGATCTGTTATGGGAACAGAAAAACTGCCAGAGTGCCAAAGGGCTGCAAGGCTGCAAAACTGAGACGATACACAGTACAAAATTGTTCCATCAATCAAAAATATTTTTATCTAATGTTATTAATGTCTATTTCGTTTCACTGCAAATCTGTTAGATTAAGTTTTCATGAATTTAAATATCCTAGTTGACCCCAAACCTATGAGCAATAGTGTATGTGCATTTTTAATCCTGAGCCATGAAAACGGCACACAGCATTGATGTTTGTTCTCTTGTTCTAACCTTTTAATTAGACTCATTAATTTCTTTAGCGACAGAGTGTCTCACATTTCAATTTTGGTGCCACAAGCGTTTAAAAATCTCAAAGTAGATGATGGACTGTTAACCAGAGGAGGTGTGCGCATGTTCATCTAGCTAAAAGTGTCAATGAGTGCATAGCATTTATCAAAGTTACCAGTCATTAACTGCAGTACAGCAGTGAGGAAGCCTCTGCTACCATAGGAACAGACTTAAGCTGCTGTGTCTCTCAGTCTCCCTCCCTGATGCAGCTTTAATTTGTCAAGCTCTTCAGTATCCAGGAAATACAATAACTACCCCTCATCTTTGTTGTCTAACAGGGAATTTGTCTATACATAGACAAGGGTGGAGAACAGATGTGCACAGCCCAAACATGCTTTTGCAGCGGCTGTTTTCGTTTCTTTGTTCTCAATATATTCATTGTAATCCCTTCTTTCCTCTTTCCCTGCGCCTCCTTCTCGCCCCTGTCCTCCTTGTCAAATCCGCCGTGTTTATTTATTTATTTTTCTCTTTCTCCAAACCATCAATCTCTGCTCAAGCTCACCCTGTCTTTTCCCAAGTCTTAGGAAGTCATATCAAGCGGCCTGCCAAATAATTAGATGGGACATTTGTTTGAAAACACATTTACAGAAGGGTATTATCCCCGCTCAGAGACATAATTTTAATCAGACAAGACAACAGAATGTGTTTAAGATTTGCCAGACAGACATAAAGAGCAAGACAGAAGACAGGGAGAGAGAACAACAGAGGAGGAGCAACAAATCTGAACACTAAAGATTTTTGGCAACCACGGCGGATACGATTGCAGAAATTTGCACTGCCTTACGTACCTGCCCCGATAAACTCCTTCACCCCATGAATGACAGAACAAAATCATACAACCTTTTTTAGCACAGGTGTACAGATAAACCCCCTGAATGTAAGCACATTCATCTCTTACAGGCTACTTTAACAGATACACTATATTGACGAAGGTACTGGGGCACCATTAGAGCTGCAGGAGCTGCGTAGCAGTTTTAGTTTGATGTTAATGCCACAGGCACAGGCTTAAGAACGAGCCAGCATCGCCGGGACTAAAGACACCAGAATTGAAACATGAATATTTTTGTCCATATAGTGTTTGATATAGACCTTTAAACTATTGTTGAACAAATGTTTAAGAGGAGATAGAAGTTAAATTTTATCTGAAAGACTTTCAAGGTTACTGTAATATGAATCTCTTCTGCCTGTGATTTCATAATGCATCGGTCCTGCTACACTGAGAAGTAATCATCTTGTAAGCAGGACTAAGCTTGGACTATTCCACAATTTATATGATATAGCTTTCTAATTCCACTAATTCAATGCAGTACTTTGTCAGATGACAAGATGAAGGCACGGAGATTTTATATTTTATGCTACAATAGTCAGTGAATGTCAGAGAGACTGAGGCTTTGGACTGTGCTTAGAGCGAAGCCTGTGGAGGCTTAATAACATAGAGCGGCTGTATATAGTCCCTGTATCAAAGGAAGGAAAAGCCCACAGTTTGTGTTAAGGTTATGTTTGTGTTTGCCAAAAGAAGAGAGAATTTGTAGGTAAGTGTGGGTTTATAGAGTATGTTGACTGTACACCTACACTCAGAGTCGATTCATGACTCTTCATGTAAATATACAGAATGTGTGGGTGTGTTTTAAAACGATTTTGCACGTCAATCAAAGCTATGTGTATGAGAGACAAAATGTGAGAGAAAGCTCTAGCCAAGGATGGATGGAAAAGAGCTATAAACACCAAGGGTTGGATTTTACATCACTGCATTATGCATCATATATATACACAAAGATGCACTGCTGCTTTTGATATGCAGATTTTATGCATCACTATATGAAACTGAGCAGCAGTTACACATGTACATTGACTTATAGATAAATAATGTGCTTTAAACTAGCCGTCTGGAAACCTGTTTTTGTACATGCAGTTTCATTCAAAACCAGCAGGGAGCAACCTTTTATTACAGATTCTAAAGTGAGTTTCGCCAAGCTCTCTGAGGTCCTTTGAGAAGGCTATTCACAGGCTGATTCAGCAGAGTGGGGCTGGGATTCAGGGTTACAGTTATTTTCCTTCTCTGACCTGGGTTTGGCTCTCAAGCACTTATTGGAAGAATTTCCTTTTATTACTTGGCTTTTCGCAGTTTTCCTGATTCATACCAACTTGTCGGTGACCTGTTGTTATTACTAACATTTTCATTCCTGAATTATTAAATACTCATTTGATGAAGAAAAAGGCAGGGCACATTAAATACTGTTATAAAAGCATTTGCAGGCAGTCCTCGAGACCAATACAGCCTATGCTTTAAAAGCTTTTGTAGTTTTTCTCCCATAAATCCTGCCACTGACATTCACATGAGTAATGAAGCTATTAAACACACACACTGAAAGTTTTAAGACAAAAAGAGTATGCCAGGGAGAAAAATTGACACATGCTGTACACTCAGAGATGACAGGTGTACATTTATTATATATAATAAATAAAGGAGTGAGTGAAAAGGGTTGGAAAATAGAGAACAAGACTTTACAGAACGAGGCTTAAAAACAAAGGAAATGTTGGTTTAAAAACTTACTGTAGGTTGCATAACATATTGTTGATGTGGCATCCAAGATGTACTCTGAACCTGAAGAAAGAGAAGAGAAGGGAAGGGAGAAGGAGAGGACGGACACGAGTAGGATGATGCAGAGGGGAGGTCATGACGAGATGAGAGGAAAGGAAAGATCAAAAGCAAGATTGTTGTAAGTGGGTAAAGAATTGAGGAAGAGAGAACATTGAGAATGACAATTGGAAGACAGAATGACAGGAAGCGAGTGAAAATGAGAAAACCAAAGAAGAGAAGTAAGAAAATTAATCATTATCTCAAGCCTTTACAAGCCAATTTCAGAGCCTCAGTCCCAGCGGCAGCACGTCTTAAAGAATATTACAGCAGTAACTAAGGGTCCACTATACAGAAAGTTTGTCGTAATTATAAAAGGATATGAAGACCACAGAGAGCAAAACAGTCTTAACAATTACTGCTTCACAGTGAGGGTTTCATCATCAAAGCTTACGTTGGCCACAAATCATACTTTCATCTTGTTCTCCTTCCGACCGCTCAACTCGAACAAACTGAAGGCAGAAATGAGTCTCTGAGGGTCCCTTTGTCTCATGCGTTATTGTTGTATGCATGCATTCTGTACCTGCATCTGTATGATCTCTTACCTACATCTGTCAATGATGAGTTAAAACAATGAAAGGTAATGTTTTTTCTTTCCCTATAAAGCATGATGCTTTAAGTCATGAGTCTTTGAATTTGGCTTTCTTATAGAGCTCTAGAGCTCCATCTTGTTTTTGGGTACAGCAGCTGCCAGCCAGCTCTGACATAACTTGATATGGTTTGTGTGTGGAAGAGAACGGGTGCGACACATGAGAGCTGAGAGTTAAAAGCAGCATTTGTGCTCAAGAATGGGAGATGGATAGGAGGAGTTCTGCAACGTAAGCCTGCATTTTATCATTGCTAGACAAAGAATTGCCTTGATTCTACAGAGCTGATAACTTCATTTTGGGTTCATATCTTTGGTTAAGTATGACAAACTCCACCTGTACATCCAGGAATTACTCTACATAGAGTCAGGAATGGGATTTTCTGGTTTTAAGTAGGCCACGGCACTCATCAAACTTCTGAGAGGTTAAACTAACCTGATATGTGGGGACAGGAGAGGCAGCAATGAAGGGTGTGATCGATGTCTGAGCAATCATCCGATTCGTGGAGATGCTGTATGGAGAAGAGTAGAACCTATGAAAGCACAAGACATACATTTTAATTTTGACTGTCCACATCATCTAACTTCTAATAATCACCTGGGAGGGAACCAAACGCGTGTATTAACAATCCAGAGGTTTCTCTGCAGTTTCAGCTCACCCTACATAACCACATGTAATGCTGAAAATGAGGCTTTTGTCTCAGTTTGTTTTGAACTACCCAGTACACTTCAAGACAACACTGACAAAATGGATCAGACATCATCAAGGCTGTCATGGAAACAATAAATATTGCAGCTTCACTCTATGTAGCACAATCAAAGACATCTTAGAATGAGACTTGACACCGCACCAGACTACACATCATGTTACAAAGGAGTCTGCACCACTGCTACGCATAATAATGAATTATTACCTTAATGTGTGAGTGGGTGAAATACTTTCGGTATTGCTCTTTATGTTTCCACCTACGCACACCCTACTTCCCATCGGTAACATCTGCATTTTATAATCTATTCACTTCTCCTATGCCTCTATTTGCCCTTCTCATTTTGATCTCTTTTTCCCCCCATTTCACCCCCTCAGCTCTGCAGCTGTAGAATGCTGTGGCTCGCAGTGCTTTATTTATCATTGTGTACCTAGAGAGGACATGTTTCATCCGCCAAGCCGTGTTGCTGTGCCCGATCGATCCCAAAGTGTCTGTTGACTGAATAATGGAGCCAGTGAGGGGAGGGGAAACCAAGGGCCAGAGACAGAAAGCGAAGCCCTACCCTATCCATCTCTAACACAGCCATGACTGTAGAAAAAAGGTACTTGCCACATATCAAGTGTTTCTCAATCAGGGAAGAAAATTACCTGAATAAAAAGACAAACTCATTTTTAATTTACTTTTAAAAGGCAACTTCAAACTACTGTTAGGTCGCTCCATAATATTTCTTAAAATCCGCAGTGAGCACAACATATAGTAATAGCCCATGCACGGAGATGACAATGGGGCTCAGCCAAAGACAGAAAAACCTAGGAGGACTGTGGTGGTAGTCGCCTGCGACACATGCACACATCTCATTTCAAGGGTGAAATGGGTTCCTGAGGTACCCACCTGTTCTGTTATTGCACATTCTGTTTCACATTACATTTGTTCAGTCAGTGACGGCATGAGCAGTTTTGAACCTCAACTGCGAGATGTAAAGCGTCAGATATTTTTAAACTATTGCGGCTCAAGGCTTGTGCATGCAGCCGGTTCCCAACTGCCTGCGATAAGCTGCAGAGCGTGATTGTGCTTCTCACAGACATTCAGTCTCCCTGTTGGATTTTTATGCCCTACTTGGTGTGCCGAGGCCTAAGTAGTAGCTGTACATATATAATAGAGACACGCCAGTTATTTGTTCATTTATTTCTTTTAACGCAACATGACTCACTTCTGTTGAACCAGAAAAAGAAATTCGTGGCAGGTTTGGTTCTAATTCATCTGCGGCTCGATTGCGTGTTTTGTCTACTTTTAACCATGTGCAACAAGCAAACATTAGTCGTATTGTTGCAAAGTGAAAATCAGTACAGCTTCAGAAAGAGCAAAGATCTACAGAAATAGCTAGTATAGATTTCATAGAAAATATATGTGCAAAAGGAAAAAGACTGTTCTGTGAACCCCAGTATTCTGTTTTCTGAATTGTAGCTCTATGGCATCAGAGGTACAGTTGGAGTTGGACGGGGATCGATGCTAGGTCCTGAACTTTTCATTTTAATCATGAATGGTAATCGTAATTCAGAAAAAAATCTATATGTACATTTTGCTTATGATATCACTGTCCTGCTAATAAGTTACATACATTGTTGCTATTGTCAATGAATCAGTCAAATTTAAACAATGGTTTAATGTCAATGGAATAACTTTGAACATACACAAAACAAAATATTTAAGAAATAGCAGTAAAAATGTGAAGTTTGGTGTTATTACTGATGGAACAAGAATCAAATTTCTTGGTGTGATAATAAGGTTTGCAAATAGTCATAGACTGATTTTAAATTAACTCCAATTTATTAATGTTTTATTGGCCTTTTAACAACCATGTATTCAGAGATCTAACCAAGTAGTTTTACAGTTTACTATTTATTAATGATGGCTATTCTAAGCTACAACTCACTTTCAAAAATGTCTCCAATTCTTTTTTGCCTTAGATTAACTGCATATTCCAACTTTGGACATGACATTATATTGCAGGGTTTAAATAAATGTAGATAAGCTGGAGTACAAACTGGAACTTGTTTGTCATAAATGAGAATCAAGAGAAAAACAATGCGGTGCTATGGATCCATCTTTTTCACTGTACAGTTAATAAATGACTTGCATTACAGATACTGTATTACTGTCACTGATGAATACAAATGAGGTGACAGGGCCAGGTTATTCAATGTGGTTTTCTGATTGTGTTTATTGTATTTTCATTAGACTGATGTGTATTGAGAGAGAGAAGCAGAAGGCAGAGGACAGACCCAAGGTTATTGATGTAGGCTATTAGCCCTGAGCAGCCAACTGTCAATGGGGACCCCGGCACTGCTATTTAAACAATGCACTAAACATGTAATTGCAAACAGAACATTATTACAGGACTGAATTTTAAAGCCTCTGTGGATCCCTAGTGTGATTTAATGCCCTGTCAGGCGTTTACACTGAAAAATTACTGAGTGATTTAGTGGTGACCCCAGTGACTTTTCCTATAGATGGAAAAGGGAAGTAAAAAAGGGCAAGAAAAAAGACAGGAGATACACTTAATGGGAGCTAGTAGATTCAGAATAAGCAAAAGTAGGTTAAGATAAGACAAACTATAAGCTTTCCAACAATGTGTGTCTGGCAATGGATGCTTTAAAATAACCCAAAAACAAAACAAAACAGAAAAACCCGTTGTCCTCAAGCTCACAGTGAAACCTGTAATTGATTCATACCTTTCCCCTCTCCTTGGACTGACTTTATTTCTGCCTTTGCCCTCCTCTTGACCCTACTCGGCCCTCCATTTTTATTCAACCCACTTCCCTCCCTGCTTTTTGCCTCTCTAATTAGCTGCATTAGCATTTCACAGTCATTTAGTGCTTCGCCGGAAGGAGCTACGATGACCTCGGAAGAGAGGTTGGAGAGGGCTTACACACAGCAAGCACACAGATGCTTGCGTGAGAGTGCCCATTTATGCATGCACGAATGAGCACACTCGCACCGAAAGACACCAAAGATGACTCAAAGCAAAGCAGCTGTTTGAAAACAGAATGAATGAGAAGAATTGAGCAATACAAAACAATGTGGACAGGGCAAGAAACAAGTCAAACGAAAAGAAAAAGGACTGTATAATTTCAGATGAACTAGAAAAAAAAAGAAAAAAGAAAGAGTGGCTTTAAGGTATAAAGTGGCGGACCAATCTGACAAAAGGAGGAGAAGAACAAGAGTGCAGAGCTGCAGGGAAGCATCTCCAGGGATCACATCACCAGCAGCATTCCTACCAGACAACACCAATCTCCAATTTCCCCCTGAAACAGGCAGGCACTCTGCTCTCCTCAACCAACTTGGGAGCACTGCAGATAGCCTCGGCTGACGAAAGTATTACAGCAGCACTGCAACAACGCCCATCTTCCTGTCTGCAATCAAAACCTACAACTCTGACAGCTTGTATGCATAGGTGCATAAATAAATGTTCCATCTGCATCAGTTAGGTGTAAGAATAAGAGCGAACGCCAGATAGTATGTGTGTTCTGTATCAGTTCAGGTATATGGGTTAATGTGTGTTATGTGTGACCCTCTCGTTTGCATGCAGGTGCTCTTGTGCATATTTCTGCAGGTTGTTGCCATGTTTCAGTGCACTGATCTTAGGAGGATTTTATACTGTCACTCTTGAACAGGCTGCGTGTAACAATGTAAGTAAAAAGTCAAGTTTGGAGACACTCTTTAGATCGAGGTTGTTCGTGCGAGAGGTAAAAGAAAAAAACAAACAAACTTTCTACATACCCATTCTGCATCGCTGTGGGGTCATACGTCAACGCCATACCACTCTGGAGAAAGAAACACATACACCGAAATGTTAAATACATGACTTGCCTTTTTAACCAATTTGTGTTTGTGGTTTTTATCACATATACAGCTACTCTATACAACTAAATAAACAATAAAGTATGATATAGCTATTGTACGTTATAATGCATAATGAACAGAGAAAGCAAACTATACAAGAGCGTTGTACAAAAAACACAAAATTCAAAAGTGACTGGGATATAAGGACCTACTGAATGAACAATAGATAAGCAGTCTAAAGACTCCAAAATAAGCCAGCTAAAAGCTCTTATGTACAATAAAATTATTTGGAATAATTGCCTTTGAGCAAAAGAGCCATTTATAAGTGCAGTCGTTTTATTTAACATGCTCAACAAAATCAAACACATGAAGGTCAGTGAGGGACGATTGTTGCATGTGGTATATGACTATATAAAATAGGTGGGAACAAAATAAGTTCCCAGTTCTAACTGACTCTAAATTTTAGCAGACCAAAGACAGTGGAACACTTTAGATTTTCTTTACCGTTTCTCCTTAAAGGTTTTTAAAAGTCAACTTTTATGGTATGAGTTTAACTCCACTATCTGGCTGGGCTTTTCTGGGTTTACGTGGGTTCTCTCCAGGTACTCTAGCTACCTTCCACAGTCCACAGACATGCAATTATTGGGGTTAGGTTAATTGATAATTCTAAACTGCTTCTATGAGTGCGACCCTGATAAGGATAAGTGGAAGAGAATGGATGGATAGAAGTTTTATGGTACTTTATTTTCTTTTACAAAAAACAGTTCACACTATACCATGTTTGATTATCCTGAGGAGCATTCAAATAAACAAACAAGACATCAAGAAGTTGCACTACCACCTAAGTCAAACAAATCCACGCTGGTTGGCATTAATGGAGGTATCAGCGCAACATAGGAAAGTTAGAGATTACTCAAAAGTCCATAAGAAGGGTGTGGCTCAGGAGGTAAGTGACATCTGCTCAGAAGGCCAGTTGTTTGATCCCAGCCTTCTCTAGTCCAAGTTTAAGTGTTTTTGGGAAGC